CCGTGCCCCCAGGGCCCCCACACTGAATCCGCCAGTGAGTGGCAGGCAACAATAAAAAATGGGTCGGGATCGATGACTGGTAGCAAGTTGTGGCTATTTTTGTAACTATTAATGGTTGTAAGATATATTTTTCAATTGTATTTTTAGTTTTTTAATTGTAATTTCAATCTTGGTTTTGTATTAGTTGTAGGCAAGACTTGAAAACTATGATGTATTATATGTTATAATAGTGTTGGATTACACTCACCCATGGTTGTATACTTATGATTATTTTTACTTGTAATTTTAATCTTTTTTTATTATTAGTGGTTGTAAACATGGCTTGAAAATAAAGTTATATTATGGTATAATATTGTTGGATTGCACTCACCTACATTATTTTAAAAAGACTAAGGCTCGTTTGGGACGACGTTTTTACTGCTTCTTAAAACAGCTTTCTAGTACAAAAGTTGAAATTTTTGTACTTGAAAGCTACTTTAAGAAGCAGCAAAAAAGCCGTCCCAAACGAAGCCTAATTCATGCACCCACCACAATCCAACTTTCGTTTTATAGACATCAAAGATTTACTCGAAGCATTAAAATTATGGAAAATCATCATATGACTCTATATGCATATCATTAAGCATCAAACTTTCCCGTGATGATTCTTTAAAAATATTCAAACATATTCATTTAGAGTTAAAAGCAAGGCGAAGTTGGGGTGACACACCCTCTTAGATTTAAAATTAATGTAATCAAGTATAATATTAAAAATTTATTTGTATATTCTTCTTCAACTATATGTTATAGAACTTTGGCCTTTAAATTTAGGGTAAACTATTTCAGCCTTGCAAACTTTAAATTTTAATTATATCACTATAGTCATTATTCCACACATAAATAAGAAAATTTCTTAATATTAAGTAGCTTTTTATTTATTCTAATATTTTTATTAAAAATATTTTTTAATATTCTAATCATACTAAAAAATTTTTGATGAAAATTTATGACTTCTATTGCATTAGCATGCTTTCCAATAAAGAGTTGAAGGAAATGAAGAAGATAAATCTAAATTAAATTGGAAAACTTTGTGTACAAGAAGTAAATTTGATGGATGACATACTCTAGGATGCCACTCAAAGGAAGTGTAGTCTTGGTACTAAAAAAATAACAAGGGGAGGTGATTATTGGAGTCTCCACTAATCATTCGTCCATCATTATTAGTTTGCCCCATTAAAAAAATTCTCCCATGCGTATGTCCTTCACACAAAAATAATGGGCAAGGACTCAATAAATGCATGATAAATGCCGAAATTTAATACATATATAAAAAGGTTCTTTTTTCATGTTAGTTATTCAAAGGGCGATATTTAAGATAAAATTATGAGAGGTATAAGGAAAAGAGGTCAAACCAATGTGATTATGGGCAAACCCATATATTCTATGATGAAAAATTTAGCACGGCCTTCATATAGGGTGTGAAGCGAAGGAATGCTCAATTCTATGGTAATGAAGTGAGAAGCATAAATATTCGAAAGCCACATGAGAGCGATCAAAGTGGTGTTGGAAGTATAATGGTTGCATAGTTTCCATAGTGTAGGTGGGTGCGACTCACGAGAGTGAACACGAGAGTGAGGTGCTAGTGAGTAAAAATCAATGGCATGTGGGAAGAATATCAATTAAAAAGTGTAGTCCAACTTAATCATACCATCATGATGTTGCATGCTTGATAATAAGCAAAAGAAGGGGGAGGAGGTAAGTAAACATCAGAATGAGTGATTGCATGGGCCATAATGTCGGGCCAATGGTGGTGGTAGGCACCATTACTTGTTTAAATAGGCCTCTAAATTGATCGTAATAGATAGTGATGATAGAAAATATTGTTTGTAAAGAAGAACAATTCATGATTAAACTTTCATAAAGTTCATCAAAGGTGAGAGATTTTTCAAGAGCATTAACTCAAACGATAGGCTTAAAGTTTTCAACAACATAGTCAAGAATGATGTTAGTGATGTCTTCTTTATCCATGGACTAGTCAAGAATAACATACCTGATAAAGAAAAGTTCATATTAGGTGCACAGAAATTTGGCGATGGCTTCATACCCTTTAGTAAGTATTTGAATTGCTGCTTGGTTTATTTGATGTGTTACCATGTAATTTTACTGTAGATGATGCGTACAATATTATAGGTTTCGATGATTCCATAGAATTTTGAACTGAGAGCTTCACTCTCAAAATAAATTCACATTAGTTTTTTATAAATTATGAACAGGAGGAACAAATTAAGAGAGAGAGAGAGAGAGAAGCTGACTATGAAAATCAACTCCAATAAATTATTCCTGATTTCATAACAAATTTTTGCTAATTTAGATTGGTTAACATAATTAAATTCAACCAACAAAACATTTCTCATAAGAAAATGAAACTGCCAGCTTTATCAGCCTTAAACTAAATGTTAACTCCTCTTTGAATTAAAGGAATGAGAATAGAAAGACATGAAATCCAAAAAATGTATTAAGCAGGAAAATCTTCAAACAGAACGAGAAAAAAAAAAAGGATAGATGACTTAGCTTACAAAATATGAGTATTATTATCCCCAATCTCCAACCGCTCGAAGCCAACCCACGATAGCAAGTTTTCAACAGGACTTAGGCTTCGTTTGGGACGGCTTTCGAAGCAATTTTTTAGCAAAAAATATTTTTTTAACTAAAAAATTACTTTAAAAAGCAATAAAAAAGATGTTCCAAACGAAACCTAATTTGCATCAACTAAGTACAGCAGAACTAAGCAATAAGCAAACTTCAACAATACTAAATGAATCAGCATTACTTAAAGAATTCCAAAAATGAATGGATTAGCCAAAGGGCAATTGGACAAGCTTTACTGTGTATAAATATATATATAATCTAAACTCTTAAACATTTATTTAATCTTTTCTATGGGGTTCTTAAAAATAATTACCGTAACAGTAACCCAAAGACCTCGTACAAATGAGCTATTATGCTCCTTATCAAGACGAGGAATGGTGAAGAATTTGAATACAGAGATTGATGGAAATTGAATAATTGATGAGATGAAACAAATTCCGTCTCTTAAGTATTCTTTTCATTTGCATGCTTTATCACTAGCGCAGCTCTAACAACATTTCCCCTTGTGATCATTCCAATCTTCAAGAAGAAAGCCAATGAGAAGTGAGAACACAATTATCGGAGGAAATTTTGATGAACTGGGAAAGGAAAGAAGATTAGCATACCAATTTGCCGGTACCATCAACAACTGGAAGCCGGCGAAACTTGGTGTCAAGCAATAATCTGCAAACAAATACGTTGATAAGAAAATCTTTGAAAATTAATCAAAGAGTAGACATGTCGGATTAGTAGGAAACCTTGCAGCATCTTCAAGATTAGTCGTCTCGCGAACAACAAGAGGTGCGGATGTCATGACCTCACTAACGATCTTGCCATTTGTTTTGCTCAACAATTTCTGAATTTCATTGAATGTCTGCAACCAGGCAAAGATAATTGATATATGCAACCTTCGAAGCACAAAACTATGCAAATTCAGGCCACTTCAATAAATAAGTTTAACAAAACAACCGATATCCAACAACTAAACCGAACCTAGTCTTAGAAGAAGTCTAATTGTTGGCTTAGTGTCAACATAACATAAAAATAAACATGATGGCCATTATCGCTAAGTCGGCTTTTTCATTGCGCCAATATAAAGTGCAAGTTGATTTGATAGTCACGTTTCCAAGTTTATTAAACTCAAGTTTTATCTTTCATGGTTGCATCAAGCATTATACTATCATACAACAACACCAAGCCTTTATCCCACTACGTGGGGTC